CTTCACATTAATAATCTGTAGCCTATCAAACGGAGCCAAAATATATTTGTCTTAATGGCTGTAGGCAAATATGAATACTAACCATGCACCGGAGTAGTTCTCATCTCCTCACGTGAAACGTTTGGCAGCCCAACAAATATAATGAACAGATATGTTAACTGGAGTTCATCAGCGTATTCTTCACCTAGCAGTGTATTGTGTAATCCAAGGTAGTTGTGTGCACTCGCTGTAGGTGTTGTTGAGCTGATTATGACTTCGGAGGTCCGAAACCATGCTCTGCCTGCCCTAATTGGTTGGTATTATATATGTTCCGGTAACAGAACAAAACGAAATCCACCAAGGGATACGTTTTGTAGACAGATGTGCATAAAAAATTTGATTGCAATATTTCTAATAGGAATGCAATCGTGCCGAGAGTGCATGCGTTTACAGCGCTATTGTGCAATGTGCCGGTTATTATTAATTGCCCTGATAAGGTGAGTTAGTAAAAAAGTCCCTAGTCGATCAGCGTTTGGGTCTTACTTTAACTCCTTGGTGAAAACTACTTAAAAATGACTGGTCTGTGATACCAAGTTTTGACCAGTGATTTATGATGGAAAAACAGCATTTTGGTGACCACTTTACCCTACCACCAGCGCATGCGCTTATATATGCGTACATTTATTGCGCCATCGCGTCTGATAGCGGCTGTCAGCGCTCCTGTTGATTCCACATTTGCAGCGTCTTATATGATGCTCTGTACTATCGAGTTCTCAAATCGTGGAATAGCACACTGCTAGACGTTTACGTGAAGCCAGTAATGATCGAAGACTTACTACTTTGCTAGCACCTCACTACGTGCATGGTCGGAATCTTTAAGGTTGGCGTGCTTTCACTGCAGCAGAGTACGGCATAATCGGATGTTTAGAACTCATCGGTCACGGTAGTGTCACCAGATCAACTGAGGTACGAATACTTCTAAATAGGAAGACTTCGAATTTGCTTCGCTCCTATATTTTGCAAACGGCTCTTATCAGATTGGGCCAAGGCATCATCATTTCTTACATTTCACGGAACCGTATTTCCACGTGATCGATCGGATTGCTTATGTAGTCAGTAGAATAGTCTTTGATAAGCAGCTCATTAAAACGTTGAAGCGCGCGATGATAAGATTCGCTTGGATTGCTAAAGTCAAACCTGTTGAAAAGTTGCATTATGTGAATTTCTTAGCAAAAGACTTAGTAGACAACAATGCGTCCTTGCCCCTTTAAATTTATGGGTTAATAAAGGGACCAAAGTGTTGTGATGCATATATGTAACTTACTATTACCTGCCATTAGTGTCTCTCTAGTATAAATGATCAACGCTAATCAATGTTAATATAGCGCTTCACCTGCTCCTGTGGGGCTAGGTACATTGGGTGCAAGAGCGTGCACTACGAAAAGCGAATCAAGGAACATTTACCGACGTCGCTCGTCACCCAACAGAACAAAACTAACTTGAGTGCGATGGCTAACCATCTGATTTGCACCGTTCATCTGATTGATAAACGCAAGTCATTTGAGACCCTCTATCGAGTGCCATCGCAGCTACACCATCGACCAAGAGCTCGGCTACTTGTCACCGCTTAAGCGGTATGCATCAGGTTGACAAAACCTAATATATGCATTCAGAAGAAGCATGTCCAAGAATTATAAATGTATTCTTTGGAAGCACTCTGAACCTAGCATCTTGTAGTTTAGTAAGAAAACAAACTGGTGTCTCGATGTGTTCGCTATGTTACGTGAAAGATTATGACTAGCTTTTTCACTGCGTCGTAGGCTCGTAATTAACGTGTTCTGATGTGGATATGCTTCTAACCATACACCACAATTAGAAAGACCGCCAAGTTACACAGCCATTGACATGTTGAAAAACCTGTTATGGGTTACGAAACGAACTAGGCTTTCGTAGTTTCACGCCTTGGACGAGGCTCACAATACTTGCTGAGCGGTTAAACAATCTATTCAATCCATCAGTGAGAGAAGCAGTCTCTCGGGTTGTTACTTGTATTCCATAGTTCAACTCTCAGAAGTGGAATTGGTTTAACTATCTTGCAATATCGTGGCCTGCATACAACTGTTTAATTTTGTACGGTATAGTGTGGTCAGTACGGAGTGCTGGTGCATCTTGGGTATCATAATCAGCAAGCTCAATAGTGCGGGTTCAATTCTGTTGTTAACTATATATTAATTGTTCCAACTAAAGCTTTTCCTGTATTTTATCCACTTTTCATTGAAGCGCCGAAATATGATAATTAAAAGCTTGTCACCTTCGTGTTTTCGGTGTTTCTAAACCGACTTCAACGTAGCAGCATAACTCACGCCGACTGAAACTTTTGTGTATCGATATTAGTCCAAAGAGATAAGGTTGGTTATTCAGACAAGTGCATTACGTTTGCAGATTCAATTGGAATATTCCTTTGACTAAAGGCACAATGGCAATTTGTGCAGATATAATCTAACCAAATCGATAACTAGCGGAATTATTTGGCTTTCCAAGAAGTCGTAAGCTACTAACCATGAAATTTCCGAGCAACTGACGTAGTCAAATCCAGATTGAATTGCTCAGAGTGTACAAAAGATTTTCAGCCAACATTAACTGGTCATTAGTTAGGTACTACTATGATAGTTTGGGCGATTGCAAGAAGACAAAGTTGACAAGAGGACAAAGATGATGATAGCTCACCTATGCGGTTTGGAGTCTAATTGTGATGAGCCAAATCCAATAATACCCAAATCTGTCTACTCATTAGTAATCAAAGTCTAAGCCCCACCGGTATCCAAAATGCTGTGTTAATTCACGGCGCTTGTAAGGGAAGACCTGATGCGGACGTCCAACCACTGTTCTCTGAACGAGCAGTAACCTACACTCCAGTGGAGGATGTGTCGGGCTATATCGCAGTTACGTTTCAATTCGTGGTGGTCGGCTGTCGTCCCCCATGGCTCAGTGGCATAAGTTGCTGACCAGTTGGCGTTAGTCTCTAGTGGTCACGGGTTCGTTCCCCAGTAGGAGACCGAGGGATGCGCACAAGTAACCAGCCGCAATAGGACGGAACGCACGTCTGGTGCCTCTCCGGATTGATAGCTTACCTGTGCGACTTGAAATCTAATTGCGATGAGCCAAATCGAACCATACGCAAATCCGTCTACCGATTAGTAATGACAACAACTATCAAGCCGGCCATCTAAAGATGTGACATGCTCCTGGGTTATCAGGCCTCAGACGAATGCTGGCCCGGTCTATTGCAATGTTGTTTACTGGCTGCTCCTAACAACGAGACACTTGCCACCTACTTTTCCTTAATATTTTTTGCATTACACTCACAACGGTGTTCACAGCTGGCTAGCAAATACTGTGAGATAAGAAGCTGACAAGTTCGAATTGCCTCAGTCCTAGTCCCTTTAGTTAAGCGAAAATATCTGGTAACGAATTGCACCGCATACGCTATCCTGTGCATTGGTTCATCGCCATGGAATGCAGCTCAGCGCATTAGGTGTTGTAACGAGTAAAACATCCAATCACCATGGAAACATTATAGTGCTGCTCATCCCAAAACTGGCACCCCAAGACCGCGGTTTCGTCCTGGTTGGGACTCATCAGTTGGAGATAGCCTGAGTTGGGCTGGAACTAAGAGCCTAGTGGCTCATGGTTGACGCCATAAGCACTATGCCACTGAGATCCGCGAGCAACGCTTGGTACAGCGGAAACGAATGCAAAGTTGAATTTGGAGAATCCGCTGGTGGTTGGCTTGCTACAAGCAACCTCTATTGAGACCTCGGTTCACTTGAGGTGAACCTCGGTCATTCCGATCACCGGCAGATTCTCCAAGTCCAACTTTGAACTCGTTTCCGCTGTACCAAGCGTTGCTCGCGGATCTCAGTGGCATAGTGCTTATGGCATCAACCATGAGCCACTAGGCTCTGAGTTCCAGCCCAACTCAGGCTATCTCCAACTGATGGGTCCCAACCAGGACGAAACCGCGGTCTTGGGGTGCCAGTGTTGGGACGAGCAACACTATAATGCTTCCATTTTAATTACGGTCTTTGTGATCGGAATGACCGAGGTCTGCGTCAAGTGAACAGAGGTCTCAATATAGATTGCTTGTAGCAACATGACCACCAGCGGATTCTCCAAGTCCAACTTTGAATCCAATCACCAATTAGGCTGTATGTTTGGAGACAATATCGCACCAATTGGATTCCAGTGCGCTGCCACTCGTGTGATGCACAGGTAGTTGGGTAGTAGTACGTCCGTTGTATTTGCACCGAAGTAGCTCTAGCTGTTCAACAATTTTTGGATTTCTGCTTTCACTAAAGAATGATATAGTCTACGTTGATATTTTCACAGCTTTTCCTGACATATCAGATTAAGAAAATTCAATAAATCTACAACACATAAAATCTAAGTGACGTTTAAAGTTAATGAAATATACACATATCGACGTTTCCTCGCCTAACGAAGGACTGACCCAAAAATGTGGACAAAATTTATGACCCATTAGAAATCGCGTCTTCAGAGAATGCGTTGTTATTCTAAACGCTTCGTGAGCTAGCAGCATGCTGTGGAGCGACCTTGAACACAGAGTTTATGAAACACTCAAAGAAGGAAACATTCTGGGCTGCTGTAAAATTCGGTGTCTGAAAAATATTGCGGTGGTTGTAATGTCTCACAATTAATGATCGCTCTTGCTGGTACGTCAGGTGTTAATGGATCAACAAGAGTCGCAATATACCATAATCTAAAAGACATGATAGCAAACTTCTTAACGATACAGGTGAGTGTACAAGTGCCTTTGAAGAATCGAGTGGCTCTCCCATCCAAAGCGGCTTTCATTCACTTCCTTGGATAGCGACTGCTGTCACTGTATTATGGTACCTAGCTCCTTGGTAAAATGCCATCATTTTTATCATGAACGAGTCTTTTCAATTGCTTGACATTAAAATTGTCACTGAGTTTATGTCTTGCTTATTCATTCACAGTGTCATTTGATGAACCAGTTCCACCGAGATATTCCACATTATTGGGTCAGATACTCAGAGCAGTAAGCTTGCTGTTTTCAATAAATTCTTTCTGATATCTAGTAACCTTTGCTGACAGTGTCACATTTTGTGGGTATAACTGAAAATTTACAACCTCACGTAAATGGCAACATTATCAACTAATCCACTTTACTCGGGGAACTCCAACTTTATTTTTTAAATGGATTATTTAACTTATACGCTACGGCACGGTCAGATTAATTGACAATGTTTCGTTAACGGTAATCGTCAGTAGTGTCCAGTAAGGAGCGATAGCAGGATATGTTTGGATCAACCTCGTATATAGTTAAAAGGATTTAATAGCACCTGGGCAGCAATTGGCTCATACGGACAGTCTGTTGCCATATAGCTTAGCTTCGTGAGCGTTATGCATGCTGCAGTATGAAGCATCATTTTATCTATGCGATAACTTACCGTGCATAGACGTTCATAGCTGGTGAGAAACTTCCAAGCTAATAGGATGCCGAATACTGGTACCTGGTATCCAATTCTAGAAGGCGTAAAAAATATGTTTTTACTGATCTGTTGGTAAATCAAATGTAGTACCAAACCGGTTGCTTTACCACCAGAGTTCTTGGGCTGTTGAAATGCTTTTGAAGAGCTTCTGATTTCGTTTCCATACTTTAGTTCTACCTTATACGGAGCACTACAAAAGTTGTTGCAATCAGAAAGACGAATTTCCGTCACAAAGGGTTTTATAACTTAAGTTAGCACCGTTCATCCAAAGTACACTGGAGGTGAGTATTACACATTTATCCGGGTGGGACTTAAGCCTAAGCTTGTCCTTATGCTGAGTACCAGCCCAAGCAGTTGACCTATGGCTGGCGATGACAAAATACAGGGCGCCTATAAGTGGTGTATCTGTTGATCCACTGCAACGGTTAAAACAAGTAGACCGCACAGATGGTGCAAAAACCGTAGAGGGTTTGCATAAAACCTCATCGTTGCAGTAATCACCACCGGCGGTCGGTAAATTTCTACCTGGCCAAAAGATGTGTTGTTTTGGACCTGTTGTAGTCTTTGGTACAATAATGGTATACTAATTCCAATGTCTATTATAATTCAAAATTACTAAGAAAGCAGCGTCATCGGAGAATTGATGCGGCTCACATAGCCAGTATGCCGCTTGGCAAACCCACATTTGACAAACTTAGCAGTTGGGGATTTCCGAGTGCGAAGATTTTAAATATTCATGGACGGCGATCAATATCACACAAGGAGAACGAATGATACTAGTCTTTGAGTGTTTAAGTTACATAAAAAAGGCTGGACGCAGCTAAAGTACATTCATGAATATTTGTTTTGAAAGGAGTGACCTTATATGACCTATGATGTTTTGCCTACAGTGAAAACTAGACGACTTACGGCTCCCACCTTTGCGGCTGGCAATGAATAGTTCTGTCAGTGAACCGTATAAACAATAGGACTCATAACAAAACCCGAATTTGTTTACAGTTATGATTTGGTAATTAATATATGAGGGATTTCTAGCTGCCTCCTTGAACTGACTCTAATTTTAACTCTTCTCTATTAGATTTTTGAACGAAATTCTTACTCGAAGTCTGGAGGTTCTTTCAATCGGATGTTCCATGGGTTCCCAACTGGATTATGTTCTTCAGCCGGTTAATCCGTTATGTCTACTGAGCCTAATTGATTACAAGGCAGAATGGTTTGGAATTTGGATGGTAAGTGTCAGCCAAAAAACATAATTGTTTCGAGAGTCATTATATATGACTTTAACAGAAAAATAGTTCTTTCATCACATTTTTGCAACACGTCATAAACTTAAAACTAAAGGCTGATATCACTTTTTGTACCCATGCTATGACGATGAAATCTTCCCGTATTATTCCTTTTTGTCGTAAATTTCACGCGGAGCGACTTTTGATGACCCCTATCGATGCTAAATTTATTGCCACGATTACCATGATCCGTATAACCATTGGACTGCCCTGTTATCCAATTGCGATTTTTACGCACTGGAATTCCGTAAGGATTTTATCAATGTACTAGGTCATGACTGTTTGGTTTGTCAGTAGCAGTTTTTCCCACCAGAATATAGACAACTATTGGTCGGTAGGAGATTAACGACTTTCACCCCTACAGTTTGATCATTTTGAGTGTGGTCTTCCGCAGAATATGTTATCACTTATGTCCATGTTACGGTATTCCAGTTAAACTCTGCACTAGCTTGTCACAGTCATATGGAAGGACAATAATGTCTGGTGCAGAAGGTATTTTTTATGCATTTCAGGCTGACGAAAGGAAAAGTGAATAGATTGCACAACACAATGATCAACAGCTTTAAAAATTCGACAAGGGATGAGATGACGTTAAGTAAATCAGTTCGTCACCATGGGAGTACGTTCTAACTAGCAACCACATCGTCTAGTGAAAAAGCTTGGATTTCCTTCCAAAACTGCGTCAGACAACCAAATGGTGCGAGCTAATACTAGTTCTGGTTTCTAATATAATACACAAGCGCCCATCAAGTTCTGCGCAACCTAGTTTTATATGTCGAAAGATATTAAAAGCATGTTTTGAATTAAGGGTTACTTTATCTGTAGTAGTGACTCATGCCTTTGGTTCAGTCACTTCAAAATGTGGGACGTTTCCATACATCTGGTACAAGTTAATGTTTGTCAGCCTACCCGGTATGGTGGCTATCTATTGAAGTTATGCTGCTGCAAGCATACAAATTTCTGCTTCTGTAGGATAAGTCGCACATGGTACTACTGTTAGTTACATAAAAGGGAGAACTAGTTTAAATCAGCGATTATCAGATTTGTGAGCCCAAGTGCAGGCCTTGGTGTGTTTACTATGTTTGCATTCAAAACATTACACTGTAATGCTCACGGAACTTTCTCTACGTTATCGTTATCGGCGAACTCAGAAGAAAAGACTATGTTGTGTGTCCCCACGCTTTCTTAATTGTGTTGCTGCTCCATTCCCCGTAACTCCATGATCAGTAAGCCATTCCTCTAGCTTAGAATTGTCTAAGGAGCTTGGAGGAAGAAATGTGTTTTTATAAAGCGTTATTTTGCTAGATGTAGGCTGGGTATTACCCATTGGTTAACACAGATTTCACTGCACCTCGGGATATTACCGGAAAGATCAAGGTTATTCGAAACTAAACCCATTCTACTCCTACGAATGACGAATAAGATGACGTCAATTGTTCTGTCTGCTTTCTGAACATCTCTACGACTAACTGAAAGGTAAACCGAGACATGGGTAGGCGTTTCAACTATTATGAGGTGCATTAGGATTAGCACGGCCTGTGTATTATCATCAAAGTAAAAAGCTTGCTCATACTCCTCAAGTCTCGAAGCAATCCGACAAGAAGTACACGTTCGGAAGTGCATCTCGAAACTTCTCAGCAATGTGTATTTTATCTGCTCTCGAGCTTCTACCTAGCTGTAGCTATAAAGCTGAACTGTGCATAACCTTTGGTTATCCTGCAACATATTCAACAGCCACGTTATGATTTTACAACTTAATGCCATGTCAACGCCAACACATCTCGTCACATGGTCGTGTTCTCTACCAGCTCCGCACAGAATCGGTTCATATCTCTGGTGACCTTGCCCAAAATTCCTAACAAGTGTTTGTTTACCTCATGTGAGAATATGATTTTTAAATAACTAAATAAATAAACCTGTATTCTCGACTATGTGGCAAGTACTGACCACTAGGTCTGATTCCATCTGTCTGGAGACAAGGCTAGGTTGATGTGGTGTACTGAAGTTGCCCAGAAGAATATACACTTCTCTGCTTACAAATTTTATTTACGTCACCTCATCAATTCGGTTATACATATTGCGTGCTGCCATGAATGACACTTCGGTGTCATTTGGAAGCAAAGCATTTGAGTAGGAAGCATGTCAGTGAGCACCCAGTGGATATCTGTGTTTTTCTACGCACACAGCACACCCGTATTCCTATGATCAGAATTTTATCGCAAAAAAATCGAAACCAGATCCGACCTTCTATTCAGGCTTCTTTTACCATTCCTGTACATTGTTTTTCCAAGTCTAATTACGCCGTTTGTCTTCATCTCTAACAAGCCTACGAGCATTGTTTTTTCGTAAAAACATGGCTCTAAGAAGGTAGACGGCGCTAAAATTTGATCTCATTTACGGAGCTAAAGTACACTGACCTTTATGTAACAGTAGCGTTATTGCTAACACTGCGACGGGTTCATTGGCCTTTAGGGCTATGAACAACTGACTGTATGATCAGACATACTGTTGGTGAAGTCAAGAAGCTGATGGAAAAACTTTTATTAAAATCCAATATCTATAGGAGTGCGAATATGCTAGCAATATAATTTAGGAACCAAATTGTAGAATCCCATTGTTATTACTTACTCATGTGATGAGTTTAAAGATGTATTGAGAGATCTGTCAAATTGTTAATGGTCTGCAAGCCAAGCGTTTTAGTCCCTGCGTTCCCGATTTATTTTCTACAGCATTCAGCCTATTCAAGGGATCCAATTATTAACCACCTTCAAAAGGATCCAAGTTTGGTGAGTAGTGGTTACCGTGGGAATCGTTTATACAGAACTCAGTGAACAAATTTGGCTGTATTTAAGTAAGTGTAGCTTTTAGTTTTGCAGTAAGCCGTCAAAAGCAGACAGATGACCCGAAAGTAAGGCAGTTACTTGCATAAATGAGTAGCTGGCTCACACTAAAGCATTCGATTTATCTCACTTTTTCGTAAACAGCATAAGTAGTGTGGTTTTCAAGGAAAGCACCGTAAATCTTTCGAAGTCAAGAGGGTTTAATTTTTGTCTAGTGATGCGCAACGCATTGCGTTGGGAAATGTGAATGGACGCCAAGAGAAGTTCTCCATGCACACCAGGGTCAGAGTGTGAAGAGTTGTGGGTGTTAGAATCAGGTGGCCAATTACGGCCACCTAAAAGAGGGAAGCATTATAATCTTAAGTACAGTGAACTCTCCTTTCCGTAATTTTGAGCTATTTTCTTTGTCGTATGGTGTTTACTTAACTGTTTGCCACAACCCGTTGATAAAGCTGGCCTATAAAGCAGGTAGAACATGTAGGAAGAGGGCCCTTTCAATTGTCCACCAGTATTATCCTTTGTGGCCGACTCGAGAGCCAGTAAAATGTCGTTTTTATGTATCCGGTTTTTGGCCATATATTGCTAGCCTCTGATGTAGGTTTGTAGGCACTAGTGTATTATTTGCCACCTCTTTGTACATATTTTCTGGGCGCAACCCTTGAAATCCAACCTCATCGCTATAATTATTTTAGACAAGTTTGACCAGCAGAAATTATTAGCAGTTTGATCCTTCACAGTGGTTGCACATTAGTGTCTGTTGCTCCCTAAGTATGCCATGCGTATCGAACGGATTCTGAGCATCATGGTGCACTTGTATTGCACTGAAACTTTAGTGGCTGAAACGGTAAAACGTTACAAACAAATAGAAGAAAAGATTCTTGCTTTAGTACGTGCGGTCTTCCAGCATGTAAGTTTCTGTAACAGTCCTATAGATTGTTAGAAATACTATCCAATATGCAATGGTTTATCCACTGATACTTCATGTTCCACCTTGGAACATTTCGATTGTATTTTTCTTTTGTCTATCCATCCTGTGGGTCTTGTAAATTTATGCTTTTTATCCAATCATACAATATTGAATTAGTCAATCCACAGGTGCTCTTTTCTACATTCGCCTACTCGTTACGCTCATTTTATCAAGCAACTGAGTTAACATTACTTAGTACTTTCGGACTAACTTAATGAATGCTTCTAAGATCAAAATGATTTCCTAATCTGTTCTATGGAGAAGTCAGGCAAGACAACTAGATCATATCGCAACTCCTGCGTAATTTTCCTAGTTAATTACATGAGCACATATTAAACACCAGTACAGCGTCTTTGCGACAGTCCAAAGTCTATGACGAAATAGTAAGGGATTTAAATGATCTCAACACATTAGACTTAAGTTAATACAGCATCTACCTATAAAATATTTAGAAGGCTTTTAAATTACCGTCTGTCCTTTCAGCTTTCGTGTGAATTGTTTGTTCCACCAGAATGAAGTGGGTGGAAACCCGCGGTTCTGCATACTAGGAACAGCATTTTCAGCCAGCAAATGATGTTCAATACATTTAGAGTAATGCGAACGCATTTACAAATACTGTTTACGCATGGAAACACGTTTCCAGCATCGAAATAGAAAGTTCAACCGAAGTGTTTTAATCATATAACGATTTTCTTAGTCCTATCAAGTAGGTGACTTAGGCAATCGCCTGAATTATGCAGAAAATAATTCAGATTTAACAGCAGGTGGTGCTTTGCAGACACATCCGTGACGCGCGTAAATATTGCTATGGATATATATATATATATATATATATATATACAGCCCCGTGCTGTGATGTTGTTGCTTTCGTGAAGCTTCTTCACTGCAGTTGGGCTAAACCAATTTACACTTAAACTAGGTCTTTTTATGCTGGGTAAATTTCATTCCACTTTAGTTAGTTTGTTCTGCCTACCTAAATAATCTTCTATTAACTTGCACAAGTTGCCTACCCTAATTGCCCTAGTCTTCGTTAACTTTATTGCGTTTGGAGCCTTTTTGAGTGACTTGTGGACATTTTGTACTTGTCGCTTATTCGTTGATGACCAACTTACTTCATAAACTAATTTAGGGTAGAGTTATGTCCGCATAGTCGTATGCTTTAACATAAATGCTTTTTTTGATAATGTTATTTCAGGTGATTGGCGGTTGTTTGATATCCCTGGTGTGCATAATGTCAAGGTGCCTACCTGTCCATTACCCACTACCTCGTCCATACTGGCTACAGGAGACAGTTGGTCGTTGCTGGAGGGGACGGGGTGCAGGTCCCTGTGGCCGTGCTGGGCTTGAAGAGTGGTTCCATGCACTCAGTGTGAAGCGGACCACGGTTTAACCATCGCCTTGTGTGTGGTTGATTTCCAAATACAGCGTGCTTGTGTTTACCTGTGAAAGAGTGTGAACCGGCTCCGTTGAAGAAACGTGGCTCCCACCCACATGCCCCCGGTCTTATTCCTTCGGGTTTATACTGAATATGGGGTGTGTGGTTGGGAATGTGGGTGGTGCAACGCAATCCACCCATTGTCCCTCTGTAGGCACAGGCGTCGTGTGGCCGGCCACATTGACAGGAAATTCCGAAACTGGATGCCGTCAACCATATATGGTCAATGTAAGCTTTTCAGGGTTTTGTGTGGCAAGCCTTAACAAAATAATCTGAGATACATAGGTCAACCCACTCGCGGCCCGTTTCCTATTTTAACAAAATATAACTCGTGTATGGGGATTACCGTAAATCTGACCTTAAGCGGCCGTCCGGAAATTCGGTGTGATAGCGCTTCTGTGTGCAACAATGATGTGAATGTTCACCCTTGTCTTTTGACGTGAAATTTCATTATTTTAGTCAAATCAACTGCGGTTTACCAGAGTAACGTCATTGAAAAACGGTTGTCAGGAAATGTGGTATTAAAGCAAGGCTGAAATGTTTGACTTAAATTTAGGCTACTCATTGATATCTGCATCTTTGACAACGTTTGAGAATAGTAGTTAAGTTTGACCTTACGGTAGAAGTACACAAAATCCTGATTAAACGATACCAATTCTGATAAAGATGAATGAGCATAATCACGATTCAAACTGTAGGTAATAAGTAAGAGGGACTCATGGCAGTTTTAATCTGAAGGGTATGGCGATAAAATTCGATGTTGAACTGTTTTATGACATTTCAAAACCTGTTTTACAAACTGTCATGTATGGTGGTTAAACCAATACAGAAAGTGTATTACGGAATTTTTAATAAGCGTGTGCATGCCAACTAGGATTTGGTACGGAGTGACTGCTCAGCCCATTAGTGTCTGAGATGACAACTGTCTGGAGGCCACAACGTTGCTTATAGCCGTCGTGCTTTACACACTTTTCATTCACTGGTTGGAACGTCTCGCTCTCACCCCTTTGGCTATTTAACACGCTTCTGAACGCTCAGCTGAACGCTGTCTTTTTTGCGCCTACTACATTCCAGTAAACATCTTTTCTTACCTTTTCATTTTTATCATGAGAAGCACACCTGGGAAAAATAGCGGGCTATTTGATTATGAGATCAGACCATAGGTCATCCCTATTCTTATACGTGTCTTTTAGGCAAATGATCGGACACTACCATTAGTCCTCCTGAGTTTATGGAAGATCTAAACTTCCCTTATTACTAGTCAACCGTCGCAAATGGTAAGCAACCAATCCTCGGTGTCTAGTTTGATTTTCCAACCCCATGCATTGAAAAGGACTGAAGGAAAATGTGCACATCACGGACTTAAGTGGTGTTTCCGCGACGAACTATAGTAATAATTTCAGGTGTAGGCAGAATCCTCTAGGTCTGCATAAATTCGCAATCGCAAAAACAGCATAGTTGTAAAGGCGACAAAGAATAAAAGCGGATGAATTAAGTATCAGTCTGACGTCCATTGCCTTGGCACTCTGTTAAACCAATGCTCAGGAAAATGGCCTGTGCTGTGCTTGACATCCAAAGGACCACTACTAGTGGCTTGGCGACAGAAACTATCCTCAGCTTTATCGCGTTTTAACGGGGTTAGTACGCCATGCAAATTTTGTAGTCATAAGATTATAAACCGAAAATGGCACTTCCTGTTACTGTAATCCTCTAGTAGTATTACATTGTATGAAATCACCAGAAGTTCCCACCGGACATACTATAGATAAGACCCATTACATGGCTTTCCCCCAAATGCTCCTGAATTTGCGCCTGTTCCACTATTACCATGGTTGTGTCGGTTTAATTTCCTTGTCTTGTTACAGTTAATTTTATCCGCAGCACTTGTTGATGTAATGCTGTGTTCATCATGACAATCAACACAATTCCTTAGATCATTTCTGATTTCAATCATACCCTGATATTCCTGATAGCTGCTGTTTTGCCTGCAAGTCCTTTTCAATTTCACAAATGAGAAGAATCAAGATGGATCATTGGCAGCCGTAGAAAGTAGTAAGTCCGAAAACCTTCTTATGTTCGAGGATCATAGTTTCTGTAGATTTTCTGCTCCATGCTACATTTCGGCAGATTAAGGAGTTGTGACACAGCTCGGCAAGTAATCCTGTTGAGTAGCAGAATGTTAACCATTTGAATGAACCGTTTATTATTAACTTAAGTTAGGTGTACAAAGACATTAGTTGGGCAACATACTGCAGACCAGCGATCATCACTCACAGCAGAAGACTGGTTGAGTAAAGGAAGACGCCCCCTGTGAATGACTCTGATGCTCTGCCCGAAATGTACGTCGCGAGTGCAGGATGGGCCCAAGGTTGCTATTACGTCGATTCTTTCTCCACATGATTCAAAAGTGTTTCAACCAATACTCAAGGTTACTTCTGGTAAAATGCTAACGCTTCTCGGAATAGTCAAAACGTAACTAAGTAATGGTTTAATTACACTGGAAAATAAGGGAATACAGTCTGGATTAGTAATTCAACCAGTTGGGTCAGACATGCCATGCCATTCACCTTGCTGCCTGAAAGGGATCTGCCAAACTCGATTAAACCAAAATCAATGTTTGCAGCATCCATCCTTGTCAACGCTTAAACCTCTTAAGCGGAATGCCGTTGTAATTCGTTGGCTGTCCTTGTGTGACGAAGCAGATAAGAGGAAGTACACTCAACACCTGCGCTGTGTAGGTGAATGGCAAAAGTAATGTGCATTGATGAACTATGTTCGGGTTGACCGGCGTGCTACCTGCTCGGAGTAAGGGGAAATGATCAAATTGAAACGAAGAATTCCTCGAAATGAGTCTGACCGAATCACAATTCAAGATATTTCCTACAGCTACCCTGGAGCGTATTGTGTTTTTTCGCTAGACAACTTCCACTTGTCAAGCTATAGCCTATGTGGGAATGTGCCTAAATGTCATGTTGAATCTGATAAAAGTAAGGCCGTCATACGAAAGAGCATAGTAGGCATTGCAGATTATCGACTTTCTTCGATCCGAAAACAGTACGGTTAATCACATGTGGCATATTCTTAAAACTGGGATCCCGCACATCTTATCAGTCAGATGCATCCAACCTGTAATCGTATCCTTCTATCAGCAAATCATTTGCCTACACATCTCACTCAATATAGTTCGCGAGCCAATCAAATCGCACTAACCAGAGCCGAACAGACCCAATGGTTGTGATAAGTACCAGAACGTCTCTAACAAGTAGGGCGTAATTGTTCAGCTCATGCGTACCAACAAGCATGTAAATAATCCTTGAGTAGGGACAGCATCAGTCCTCAGTTTAGAAATTGCTAGCCAGTTAAAGTCCCACCCATGCAACTACCTGCAGATCAGCCAATACACACTGTCACTAGCCCTCTAACAATTTCACTCTCGATGTAGGGCTCACTGACACGGGTTACTTTGTCCACTCTAAGCACATTTGACGCTTGTTTTAGCCACAATGACAATTGGCGATGAATTGAGATAGCCACAGACCGCAGTACATCTTTGACCTAACGTTGGAGCCCGAAAATTAGGGCGAAGCATCAAACAGCATGTGGCCACCACAACATCTGAGCTACTGCAGTATCACACGCAACTGCACGTGATGCAGAGTTTGACCACAGTTACCGTGATTTCGTGTCTATTATGTTGCTTCCATAATTGTTATTAGTGCCCGGACACACCCCTCACTTGGTATAACACCTAGGTGCGTGGAAGACCGATGGTTATGCACAGTTTTCTCAAAATTCGCTTAGTCAAAGTACACGTAATCACTTTTAAACCGCGTACAAACAAGCACGTGTCAACTTCCATTTCTCCCTAGTAGATGAAATGAACACATATTTAAAAATGCTTTATAAACTGGATGGCATGTATTGGCCTGTAAATTTGACGTCAGATTCTTGCACAAATTGATGTGTGTAAGCAGAATTATTCGAACAAAAGTAGGCATCAGCACTCTGCCACATCTGATAAATGCCTTAATGACCTGATAGTTAAATTAAAGTGCCTAACCAGAGAACCGGGGAATAGCATATGAAAATGGTACTTCCAGTTGGGAAGTATACAGACGTTGTCAAAATGTAGTGTCAAAGCACGGTAAGAGGAGGCTCTAAGTCGACAGGTGTAGAATGACTATTGTAAATGTTTCATTTACATGAAGCGTCCACGATAAATCGTAGTTCAACACAGAACCAAGGTATTTCACTGCTGTAGAAATGTGAAGCCTATCACCGTCAGTATGGAACTTGGAGCACTGTGTGTGGGACTGCACGTACCTGGCTCCACTGTTTAGCAAAATAAAGAACATAATGACAACTTAATGCTTTGAAAGACCTATTATGAGCTTTGAACCAAGATTTGATATCGTTCAGATGATTTTGTAACCTGACTGTGTAATCGGTAATTCGACTACTGATACAAAGGAAGATGACATCAGCATAGTTCAGTAGGGTCGTCCTTTCAGGGACTGGGATTGAGCCGACGTAAGCAGAAGAGAGAAAAGGCGACCGAATTGCTCCCTGAACGGCATCAATTTTGGTGATTGGTAGGTCGGCGCAACCGCTACTGAGTCGGGTGATTCGAGTGCTCCCAGCAAATTAATCATTGCAAATGCACAATGGAGGGATGTAGTTATAAATAGCATAATTAAATACACAATTTATATGCGTGGAAACACAGCGATGTTAAAATCTCGAGGATAAATTAGCAACGTACATCGAGTGGTGAATAAAAGCAACAGCGTTCCGTTAAATACTAAAATGCGAATACGCGTATGTTTGTAAATTTGCAAGCTAGAATTCGTAGAACACGGCCGAATTTGTAGGTCCTGGGTGAAACGAATACGCTTTTATGCAGAGGGTCTGGTGAGTTTTCAGCCGTTACACATGTCAGCTGCATGATATAACGAAAGGCAATAGTGGCAGAACAGTAGTTAACTAAATAAAGACTTTATTCTTGAGAGTGGGAGGCACGCCTGCATTGGCGCGACCTTGTCTAAAGTACCACAGTGATCTTGAAATGTACAAACATTTCACAAATTTATAGTAGCATAACGTACGTATATATATATATATATGTATACGTAGAAATGGATATATGTATAATTTTGGGTACTTCGCAACCAGTTCTAAATCAGATAGTCGTTCACATGCCCAAGAAAAGCATTAGACTGAATTTCAAACCTGTTTAGTATCATCAGTATTGCGCAACCATCGGCTCCTTCAGGATTCGAACCCACTACTTATGTTACCCCGTAGGTTGAAAGAGTAGTCCAGTGATTTTCCGGGCATGTGGATGAATATCTGATTTGTAATGGTGATGTACCCTTATTCATTTGTAACCAAATACTCATGAGTATATCAAACTATCCGCCCTGACAGTTTCTTAATGCTATGTCGTACCTAGTTACTGTTAGTCTAAGTCGAGTCTTTCGGGGCCAATCCTATCCTCAGCACTGTTTCTTAATTGCATGGCACTGGAGGATAAGACGCGCTATATCGCAGTTGACTTGTAAATCATGACTATCCGACACTGTTCCCAGTGACCCGGTGGTGTAAACTGCTGAGTCGTGGTTCGAGCCGCTAGTGGTCATGTGTTCGACACCTGATGGATGGGATAGATGCGTACTACTGATGATACTCAGCAGGTTGAAAAGGCAGTCCAGAGCTTTTCTGCGCATATGAATTATTATCTGACTTGGAACCGGCTCTGATGTTCGCTCAATTTATTATAGCACCCCCAACGCTTGACTACATCGATATATATGCATATATATGTATATATATTTATGTTTATACGAACTACGTAGGGATACCTCATCTTTAATATTGCCGTTGGCATAAATACAACTCCTTAAGTGAATAAAGTTGTTCACCAGTTAGCAGTGTTTCTTAGATGGTGAGCTGTGGGAGCGGCGATTGACAATTCTGTTAAGGAAGTTACTTTGCTATACAAGTTGTCGTTATCAACCGAACCCGAAATTTGCCCATACCTCCAACGAAGGAAGCTCAGCCTATTGGGGTCAACTCACACTGTGTATACCAATTTGTATGTGACTGCGGAAAAAGTTACATAGGCAGAACCAATAGAACGCTGACTTCCCAAATAAAGGGTCATGTGCCAAGATGGGTTCAACGTGAAGTTGCTCAGATTGCCTACCATCGTCAGATTCGATGTTCGCGCAGACCACCTGCTTCCTCGATAGGCAAACACCTATTAGACTCGGGACATCAATTAGAGCTGGGCTCAGCGTTTAAATTTGTGTTACGTCACCCGAATCCCCGCTTCCTTCGGTTTGCTGAGGCTGTCGCAATTAGCCGGATTAAGCCAGCCTTGTGTGTTCAGAAACAATTATTTGTCAGCCTAAAGCTGCCTTGGACGTAGGTGTGAACTTCCGTTATTCGTTTTGCACCTTAAGCTTGTCTGGTTGCACCCACTGTTAGCCATATCTATGCTTATCGGTTATTGTTAATGGTACTGTGGAGACAATACGAAATGCATGCATCTACCAGCCTTCGTCTTCTTTCCGTGCTTTTCAAATTGTTGAAGGGAACTAACTGCTTTAAAATTCTGTTAAAGCACTTCATATTTGGAGGCGAAAGCAAATACCATACCTGGATGATTCTACCACCGATTGGTCGGGGAACATTTGCATAATGCGAGTTGTAACCGAGACAGCGCAATCTAGATCGGTTTTGCAATCGGCAGGAAATAGCCAGGTGCCTAAAGTCTGCAGCACTTGTAAAGCTCCCAACGGGATGAATTTGATCGTACATTTGAAAAGAAATGGATATCTGGGGCATCCATGTTGCAGGTGCAGGTGTGCATGTATGTAGCTATGCTACTTGGCTGTGTCTCATGCTAAGCTTAATGTTGCATCCGTGGTGCATCTTCCCCGCATTTGGGCTAAACCAACTTACTCTTCATCTAGGTCTTTTTAATCTGGATAAAAGTCATTTCTTTTATTTGCTTTATTCAATTATGTTATTCTGCTGCAATTTTGCAC